GAACCGTATCCGGACCGAATGCACCCCTACTAACAGGCAATATACACTAGAGGAAGAGCACAACAAGGGAAAACGAGCCGGATCAAGAATCCAAAATTGACCAAGTCCAAAAAAAAGTGGCTACAAGGTCAACAAGTTAACCCAATGCTATATGACGACGTCGGTTAGTAGGATTAGCTGACCAAGTGAATTTCAAAATTAAAATTCAACCAAGTGTTGAATTTAGGCCATGAGCGAAGCTCACTAAGCTCATATTTGGCTAAGTGTGGGATTGATTTAGAATGTAAGTTCACTCACGGTGAAAGTCGCCCCAACGCAAAGACAAATTATGGCTAAGTGTGGGATTGATAGGAACAGTGTCACCGTCAACGGTGAAACTAGCTCAGGCAACTTTGAAGTGCCATTCGAGCTCCGGGACACCATTATGGCGACCGAGAGCTTTGACGTTTATGGCAAAGCTTAGTTAACAGGCAGTGAAACCCACCTGAAGGCATTCTGAACTGCGGCAGCACGGCAGCGAGATTCTGTCAACATGAAGAGGTGGAAATTTTCTTGCCCTTTGAGAGTTGTCATTGAGGCGCCATTGATGAAGAAGGGTTATGAGAGCTTGAGAAGGGCTTAGGATTTTAAAGCATAGATGATGAAGGGGAAGAGAGGGAATTGACTTGTTTATAGGATTTTAGCGAATCTCGCCCAAGATTTGACCCCCAATCTCACTGAAATTTAGAGGATTTTTCAAATTTGAAATAGTCTTGACGACCCTCGCCAACTACCCAGTGAACCTACTCAATGATCATAATTGAGCAAATTTCACCAAATTCATGGCAAACTTTGCTAGACAAACTTCATTTGAAACAAGCTATTTCCTAAATCTCGCCCTAATTCAAGAGCGAGCGAACTCCGTTCTAAGAACAAAATTGGACAAACTCTTTACGAGGAGAGATACAAATATGACTAATCATTCAATACAAGATGAACCTATAACAATGGAAGCTACACTCAACAGTAGCTACATTCAACAGTACGTCTCTGGCTATTACCCAAGGTATGTCGATCCCTGTTACAAGTCAAATACAGGATCTCAAAAACTTGGGTGGGCGGGTTTTATAGATGGTCAAAATATACAAGCTCCTCTGACGTACAAGTGAATCTCTTGATTCATGAGTGGCTTGAACTAATACTTAGTGCAAATAGCATAAATCTGATATTCGAGCCCAATACAAGCTCAAAAAGGGATGCTTAAGGGCTAAACACTGAATCAAATCAAAATGGCTTAAATACAAGCTCATAGCCAAACTCATCCAGGCTACAACGAAGTTTGTTCAAGTCTCATGCAAACTTCACTCTGAGCGAGCCTAAGCCCAAATCAATGTGAACCAAGCCTATATGAGGCTCTAAGTGAAGTTCGCCAAGCAAACTTTGCTAAAAACCCGATGTTAAAGGGGAAGTGACGTTCACTTAGCCAAGTGGGCCCTGTCACCCACGTAACCCAACCTCCCCCCCCCCAAAAAAAGAAAAAGAAAAGAGAACATGGGCCACCGTTGTTCTACCAAAGTTCACCCAATGAACTTTGCCCAATGGCCATTACATCCCACATTCTGGCAAAGTTCTTTCATCGAACTTTGCCCATGGTCGTTTTACAAGATATTTTCAAGGAAACGTGGGTTAACACCATTAACCCCGATTTAATGATCACTAGTTCATATTTAATAATCATTAACTCCTTCTCTTTGCCTATGAATGGAGATGGAATTGCTCAAAAAAAAGAGAGAGAGAGGGAGAGAGAATACAGAATCGGCTAAGCAATTGAGAGAAAATCAGTTATTAATAAAGCTTTTAGTAAAAAGAAAGAAGACATCGGACATCAAGCTTCTTCATCCTTTTCTTCAATTCAATCTTCATAGATCATCCTTTCTAATCAAGTTAATCATTTAGCTTCATCTTAACAATTAGTCGTTAAGAATCTTTTTGAGATAAGCGATAAGTCATTTTCTAGAAGAAACCAACTAAAGACCCACCGTCTTTGAGTTGAACCGTTACTAAAAGACAAGAATGACCTTCCATCGGCACAAAAAAAAAACTCATCTCTCCATATAAGTTCTATATAAGTTTTCTTATTTCTTATTCCTTGAGATTGTAACTATTTTTCTTTATTAGATTTTGAGACTAGAAACATCGATAGACAATGTATGGCGGAGAGTATGCGAGAAGAAGTTAGGAGTAGAACCACCCTCAATGCTTGAATGGAATATTAAATTGAAATTGTTGAAAGAGACCTCCTCACAGCCATTGTTTACTGATTCAACATAGGATGTGATGAGCGACATGCACGTGCATATACTATGCACATGATTAGTTTGCTTCTATTTCTCGACTCCAGTAAAGATAAAATGTATACAATGTACATATGTTTCTAATTTGAATATTTTTTATGAATGTGTTGGCTACTTGAATACGTTGCAATGCATTTTTGAAACATAATAGGTGGTTACCACTCTTCGAGGATTTGGACACTTGAGGCGCTTTATCGATGGGTAGTGCTATTCTAGCATATCTATATAGAGAAATGTCTAATATGACTCTCAAGCAAAACAAAGAGATCACAGGGTTGTCTAACCTTATTGCAAGTTTGGGCATGAAAGAGACTAATTTTGAAGCTGAGACTGTGCAAGAAACGATCTTTAGATGGACAAATTCCACTAGGGTGATGGTAAACATTTTCAAATATAGCAAATATAAGTGTAATTGCAGTAGTAGATGCTAAACTTTAAAAACCACACATGGAATGTTCAAAAATGTTATGATGAGATCTCAGCAAGACAATTAGAATTTTACAGAAAAGAGTTTGATCGCATGAAGGTATTTTAGGTATCGAAATTTACTTTAAGAAAATTCAGTCTTTACATCGTACTTTTTCAGCGAGATACTAATTAATATGTGTAATATTTTTTTGTTCTTATGGGAGTTATACAATGATAAATTGGATAATCTTCCATCGATATGCATGGAACACCAAGTTATATGGTGAGCTAGAGTTCTTCTTTTATGCTTTGAGATTATAGAAATGCATCTACCAAAATCATGTTCTTAGATAGTTTGGTTTGGCACAACATATTCTAGAAGATGTTGAAAGAATGGAGAGAAAGACCAAGAAAGGAGGACATTAGATAGACTTGAGAAATATGTATCAGCAGTACATATGGAGATGGGATGATTGGCATTTATTATCTGGAACAGATTGATCACGCTCCTCGAGAGTCGGATTACATTATTTGGTATTGGAGGATTACTAGAAGATGGATAATGTATGAGAGTACACATCCGATCGATATTTCCTTACAAAATAGGTAACTACCTTGAGGTTTAGATAAGAAATTTTTTGTAACTCATTTACTATCAATCAAATATCAAATTCACTTGTTTGGTATTCCTTGAAATTGCTTACATATGTTTGTTTTTGACTTAATTTCTTATAGATGTTGTAGATGATATTGAGGCTATTGCAAAAAAGGGCCTATCGCAGGTACAGATCCTGGAGTACATGCATTTTTATATCAGTGGATAGTGCGGAGGGTTCATAAAGTCTTAAATCAAATTCACGAGGATCTTCATGATGGAGGAGAGGTTGTGATGGAGGATGATCTTGATATCTTATACACGCTGACCACAATGATGGAGACGTCAAGGATCTTGCATGAACGGCGATGAAGTTGAACCTTTCCAACATATTGATGTCTATTCACAACCACACACGCAATCGGACATCAAGCTCATGCAAGCTCATGTTCATAGAGGAGGACAACGAGAAGGCCGGGGAAGAAGAGGGAGGGAAAGGAGAGGACTTCTAGGATGTATGCAATTGATTTGTGAATTTCTATATCGACTCTGATTATGTTATCTACTTCGGTTATTTGTAAACCAATTGACATGATATATTTGATGTTGTCGTGATGATTGTGTCTATGGAGTTAATATGTATCGAGTTATCATGTTGAATATGTTTGAGATGAATTTGAGTTGTGATATACTTGATATGATGCGTGATGGTAAGAGAAGAGGGTTATGTATAGTAAATGCAAGAGAAATGTACAGGATATTTTGATATCTAGACGAAACGGAAAGGGCTAGCTTTAGAAAATATGCGAGTCTAGCCATCCCATGCATTTTTTGAATCTATATAAATGATCTGTTGAAAACACGGGACAACCAGTCCTTTGTATTTTAAAAGAATCAGATTAGCCCTTAATTAGGGGAGACTAGTAGTCCTGTGTTTTTTAAATTCTATATTTTGCAAAATCGATAACTCTTTGGTCATTCACGATGACGAGGCTAAAATTTTGCTAATTAAAACAAAAAATAATCGCTTTTGCTAATATAATTTTTTTAAAAAATTAAATTCTCATCGTAAGATTAAACCAAAGCTAGGTTGGCGATCTCGGTTGATTACTGTTCCAAATTTTGAATTTTGGACTTGGGTTACCGACACTTGGATGAAGAGGAAGAATGTACACTTAATACATGATTCCTTCCTCTTTTTTACATCTCAAACTTCAACCTGATCCCCAAGCTTCAATACAATGCTTGAATCTGTTTGGTTTGATCCCAGAGGTCCTAGTCAACTTAATCCCTATTAGCACGTCTCTGGCATCAAATCACCAAGAGAGGGGGCAAAAGAAAGAAATAAAAATAATTTTTCACTTCGCAATCATAGTGAAAAAGGATGACATAACAAGTATGCTCCAATGACACCAACGCGATCCTCGGAAGAAAACACTAGGAAGAAAATACTAGAAAATATAGGAGTATAACTAGTATACAAGGATTTTAAAATGGCACCAAACAGCGTTCCGGAGAAACTAAACATGGAAGTATTGTAAACCCAACCCCCCCACCAGCAGTATCTACCAAGCAATGCTCTCAACAAAACATGCCAACATTACTTTACAGATTGCCTCATTCAAATAAAACAATTAAGTATAGCACGCATATTAACAATGACAGAAGAAACTTAACTACATTTTATGATCTTTCATTCATATGATAAGTTCTACTTCCATGTTCCACAAACAGCAGTAATATATATTCTTCAACAAGTTACTTCTGAGGACAAGCACTTGCTTCAGCGTATACAAAAAAACTAGATTGTTAAGGTCTCTCTCCCCCTCTCAAATTAGCAAAAAGGCGAAAATGGACAGAACCGGTGTTACTTTCAGATTCACTGCTGTAAAGTCAAGTGTACAACTCCTGACTATACAACATAAGAACTGTTTATTCTCCAGCATATATATCTAAGAATAGATTTCTCTCTTTTTTTTTCCCTTTGTGCAGTGTCTCTTTTGTGTATGCGGAACAACTTATGAAGAGATGAGCCATATCATCTTAGTAGCTGAATAACCTGAAAATTATAACATTTACAAATATTACCACATCAGCAGAGAACAAGAGGAAAGTAAGGATGTTAACAAAATATTGTTGCACCAGAAATCACAAGATGGAGGACTGTCCTGTAGCTACCTCTACGCTTAAATAGATGCCCGCATCACTCAGCAACCTGCATACAAAAAATAGTATCATCAGACAAACTGGTAAACTCAATAATGCTCATCCTTAATTGCGATATGAAAATTTAGCCTTTCATCAATTAAGTCCAAATCCAAGAAATTGAATTTTCAGCTTAGCAACTGTTTGGTTTGCCAAAATAGGGTGGAAACCGCGTGGAAAACGTAACTGACACGGGCACACTGAGGAAAAAAAAGTGCATACTAGAAATCCTATACCATAGTTTGTTTCACAATTGTTTTCCAGAAGTAGGTTTATATAGAGTGCAGGAAACACACCAGTTCTATAGAAACCCAATACCTGGCATTTTAAGAGGAAATGGGTTGAAATCTAACACAACCCAATAAACTATTGGTCCAGCTCACTTTCTACCCCTCTTTGTTTTTCATGTGCGAATACAAAGGGTTTCTGTAATAGAATTTAACCAAGTACCTGTAAGACGAACATTTATCCTACTTATCTTTGTTAACATGGCTGCTCAAGTGGACACGAGTATCAATGCCCTATTAATTAAAAAACATCATGCTATGTAGCACATGATCAATTGACACCGAAGGCTGTCATCCCCGCACCTCCCCCCACCCCCCAAAAAAAATCTTTTTCTCTTATTTTCCTGGAGACACTATCCTGAATGTAACTATCTAATAGACTACTCACTTTCTAAGATGAGGATGCAAGAATTCAGCTTCCTAGAGTTTGATCAGCAGGATTAGTAAAACATCAGAATGCCATAAAGAATATTATATAACTTTAATGGGAGGCTTCATCTTTACTCACTGCTGCTTTATCGCTCAAATCATACCTTCAAATTGTTGTTTTAATAACACGAGTTTAAATAATATGTACCAACAGCTGAATACAGCATAAGATGTTAACAACCGAAGTCTGAGACAATAATCCTGAATTCAAAATCTAAATTATGCAGCACTTCAATGTCGTATGCTTTGTGAGGCATTCATGTAATCCCTTTCCCTAAGTAACACAACAACGTCCACACTAAGTGACATGAGCAGCTAATTCTTCTTAACTGCTATTACTTTGCTGCCTATGGCAGAACAATAGGCACCAACGAAAAGCAACAAAAAAAAGTCCTAATCACCACGAGTAAACATGACAAGTTGACAACCTGACTTGGCTCCCTATTATTGAGTGATCAAGCCAAAAGAGATGAGGTGATATTCACAATTATTAGGTATTTATATCAGTGCATTAGATATAAAATTGTAATAAGAATACACATAGATGTAGCCATATTTTGGAATACAAGTTAAGATTTTAAAAAATTATTAATAAATAGAGCTTGCAATGGGTATTTATATCAGTGCATTAGATATAAAATTGTAATAAGAATACACATAGATGTAGCCATATTTTGGAATACAAGTTAATATTTTAAAAAATTATTAATAAATAGAGCTTGCAATGGGCATATCAATTATGCGGAATCACTATGGGAAAACTAAGGTTAAGCAATGGCTGCTTAATTTAACCTGCAGGCTGACAAGGTAGATTTCCTTGATAGTAACTAATGTCCCGACTAATTATGGATATATCCGGAAACTAGGATAAGCACACCCTAATAGGCTGAGCAAGCACCTGACCACTTCCCCAGTTCTCCCTACCCCAACAGACTAATGAGGTTAGCCAGATACAGCAAATCCGGTTTAACCAAACAAAGTGTTTTAAGGCGGTTTTTAGCCACTAACCAAAAGAAAACTTTGGCTAGAGATCTAGCATCTGAACCTACCTACTTGTCTTTTCTCTCCTCATCTTTCAATTAAGCAGCAAAAAACAGGGAAGATTTGGATAGCACTATAGCAATGAGCCCATCAATAATTATTCCCACTTCTTTTATGCTTTGCTTTCCACCAAATTTTCCTTTCCCCGTCTTATTCATCCATTCTTCCTTGTGTCTTCTTTATAAAGCTCCATGTTGTTTGCAATGATTGTATGAATAAAAAGGTCAGATGCCTCTAGATTTCTTAAAACATCAAGAAATCAGGAATGTATGATGCGAAGTGTATGTTTGTGCACACGCATCCACATATCTGTTTTCATCTGAGGATATTTTTGTTGTCTTGGAACTCCAATATAGAACAAGAGAACTGTACTTTAAATGAGATTTAACCTTTTGAGTGTGCAACATCTTTATTGTCTGCCATTTAGTATTTGATATATCCAGAGGAAAAGAAATGCCAAAACCTTATTGGCAATTCACCATCAATCAAGGACAAAAAAAGGGAGAATCTCATCAATAACGCTTGGGGATGTAAAAAGAGGATGCTAAGGATGAGAATTAAGACAGGCATAATCATACTAGATGAAGCAGGAAGGAGAACCTTTATGGACATGATTTAGGATTTCTATGGTGGTTTGGATGTTACTCTAACATAGATGACTGTCAACAAAGCTGAATTAGGATACGCAGAACCATACTTGATGGAACAGGAAGGGGACCTTTATGAACATGAATTAGTATTTCCATGGTAGTTTGGATGTTAATTTAAAGCATATGACTTTCAACGAACCTGAAAGGAGTAAAGGGATATAGGCAACCTCAAAGGTTGATGTGTTACACCATGTATAATTCAAGAAAACATCTCTATGTTCAACTTTTAACATCAGTCAAATGATTAAGAGGAGGATAATATTTCCAAACATGTTGCAACCATTGTGTAGGAGCTATCAATGAAAGGTAATGCTTGTGGTAGTAAAACAAATTCCTTATAATATTACGAGAAGCAGAAAATGTCACGATAATGAATTACCATGATAGTTCTACACAATAAAACAAATTCCTTATAATGTTATGAGAAGCAGAAAATGTCACGATAATGAATTACTATGATAGTTGTAATATATCCATTTCCCTTTGAACGTGAATAATACTGTAAGATAATGCTAATTTAGTTATAGAAGGTAAAACGTTATAGTCTGGAGAATTTCAAAAAATTAAAGAAAACATAACTCGATTCTTCAGCAATCATCAAAGGATTCAAGGGAATTAAGAGATTGATAAAATACAGGCATCCTCTAGAACTCTATAGTGTGAACTTTGACCAATCCGCTTACACTTGCTATGGAACCGTGAATTTGTATAATCACTTGTACGTGGCTAAATGAACATTAAAAAATATGCTAAATAATGCTATATATTTTCCGCAAACATACAATACCATACGCATTCAGTATACAAGCATACCAGTTTTTTAATGTCCAGTGCACTGGAATTAGACAGAGATAACAGGTTGACTGTGGATTTTTTTTTGTTGGGGTGTGTGATCTGAGAGCTGTTGATTTTTCCTAGGATTGATATAGAGACAAATGATGAATGGCGTAGGAAAGCTGAAAGAAAGGTTTAATTGAAGTAGAGATGGTTAACTTTTTTCCCAAAAAATATAAAGGCTATCCTTGTTGCATTCCTACAGCCGGTGCCTTGTTTTAGTGTATTAGAATAGATTTCTCTACAAACTCCGGCCCTTGACAAATTCAAGTAGTAAATTGAACCCCATTTTGTGCCATGCAATATGAATCCAACCACCTAAAATAGAATACTATTAACCTTTATTATTTGGTTCAGAGGAGTCGCATCTCAAATCTAAAATGTGATGATTATGTTACTTCATGAACATACAGAAATATTTGGATAACTTTGATCAGCAATTCAATAAAGAACTATAAAAGAAAGCTTGCCTCAACATTGGACAAGCAGATAGAAGTTCATCAAATATGACGATCCATCTCCTTGCTGGAAATATAGTAAGTACTCTACTAATTTCTCATATCAGATCGATTTTGAGTATTTAACTCATTGATATCAGTGTCAGATATTACAATAATACTACATGCATTAGATAGAATACACCGAATCCTAATTACTGCATGCAATTGTGTAACAGCGCTGATGTATATATGGGAGCTTTGCAGTAACAAGCTTCCAACCAAGATTAAAACCTCCAAGTTGCAATCAAACATAAAAGTCATGATATAAGAAGAAAGCTATGCAATCATGAGGAGATGAACATGTACATGCATGAGGCTGTAAAGGAGGTTATGAAGATGATGAAAGGTTAAAAGAAACGTAAGAAGAAACAAAACCTTGAGAACTCCGGTGACAGTAACTAAAAACTACTACAGACAGTACTGGTCAAGGTATTAAAATAGCCAATAACAACGATGATAATACGACAATATATGATCAAACGAATTTGTAATTGAGATCCCATCATCCTCAAGCTTTTATGACCTAGTTCTATGCAATTGTAGACAAGATAGGTATTATACTAAGAACAAAGAGAACAGGATTCAGATGTTCCTCCTGCTACAGCGGCTAAATATATCTTTACCACCAAAACAGGACGAGCACAGACAAATGTACGATAGGTTTGAACATTTTATCCTTAACCAGAAGCAGGATAAGAATCCTAGTGCTGAATTATCTGGTGTTCATGATAAGAGCAAAATCTTATAGTACTAGGTTCTACATACGAAGTTAACTACCATCAACTTAATTTCTATCATTGTCTTAACTTGCAGATCTCCAAGGCATCCTTAAAGTTAAAAGCCTCTTAATATAGGCCATTTCACATGCGTGAATACGCAAACCAAATTTGCTAAAGTAGTCATTCTATTACAGCATAAATCCTTTGAATGGCAATTTTTATCTTTTGCAATGAGCATACAATTGAAAACTCACTAGTGCTCGGCCAGTGGTTGAAGTTGTCATTGCTTGGGCAATTCATATGTCAAAGAATCGCCAAGACGATTATGATGTAGATTCTTTAGTTGATATGGGTGAATTGAGAAATAAACAAAACAATATAGGTTACTGATGCATGTAAGTTTTGGATGTTCGCTTTTATTTTATTTGCTTAGCCCCTAATATTGGCAAGGGCTCTGTCTCCACTTTAAAGTCCGGAGGATTGATAAACACTCCTTTGTTTCCGCTCACTGACCTTTGTAATTGTGGAAATGAGTCTAAAGGTGAAGGATTGAAATGCATGCTTTAGAAGAAATGCTCCTAGATATGGTGAAGGATTAAACCCTACATCTCACTTGTTTACATGTGTAGACCCATCAATGTAATGCTAGAACTGCATCATTACCAAACAATAACTATAGCTAAGACACGATAGTAATATCCAAAAATAAATAGTAATATCTAAAAATAACTAAGTGAGACTAACTTTCTACTCATGCTACCCACTCACATTCGACCATCTTTCCCCTCATAAAGGAAAGCTTCTCTCCCCAACTAAGAGAGACTATTTGACCAGGTTTAAACAAGAAACCATTCTAGATGCAAGGTTTCCATAAGTTTCCATACAAGCTCTTATTTTTCCCTCCAGAAGTGCAATTAAAACATGTGCTCATACCTCAACTACTGCACGAGAATGTCACTGAATCTTGTTGTACTCGATCATATTACTAGCACTTTGGTAATATTGCCACCACGGCGCTCAAACTACTGAACTAGTATCAAATTTTGAACTTTACGTCATATGCACATTTGATGTAAATGATATCAAGAAAGCCAAGAATGTAGCTTTAAAAACTTAATCATTCTCCCACAATATACCTGATTGAGAGGGTTATCAGGTGATTTCTTCCACATCTTCCATATCATATCCTTGTACTGATTCAGAGTCAACCCCGGCTTCTCTTCTTTCAACTTCGCAAGCTCAGCTTCTTCAAAAGCCTACAAAACAAACCAAACCAAGGCAGTCAACAAGTGGAATCAAAAGTTCAAAACACTATTATCTGAAAGCTTCAGAAATCCTAATCTCACCTTAAATGAGGCCTTGAGCCGCCTCTCTGGGTGCCTATCCGGCGGCAGAGCTCCCTCCCCGATCGAAATCTTGGCAATAGCCTCATCAACCGAATGTGCCTCGATCAACGAATCATCCCTATTCGTATTACTCACAAGAACAATCCTTTCATACTCCTCCTCATCAGCCACCCTCTTCTCCCTCTTCTTAACCTCCTCTGCATTCCTCATCAACCTCATCCTCTCCTCCTCCCTCCTCCTCTCGAGCTCCGCCCCCGTCACCTTCGGAGCCGGCACCGAAACCCTGTTCGCCTTCTTGTCGGGCTTCTTCCCCGCCTTCTCGATCTCGGCCGCCCGATCTGCGCGAGCTTCTTGTTTCGCCGTTGCGGGCCGCCGGCCTGCGGCGCGCTTCGCGCGCCTCCTGCCGTCGCGTTTTTTAGGCGGCCGCGCGGGATTTGGAGCCCCTCGGCCTCTTTCCAGTAGGCTGCTGCTTCTTTCTGCGAGCGGTTTTTTCTTACGTTCGCGATTCGTTCCCGGATCGGCGGGCCGCGGGCCGCCTAGCGGCCTTGCGAGTTTACGGCCCATTTATTGGGCATTGCGACGAGCTTAGGGTTAGGGTTTTCGCCGGAGAGGGGGGGAGAGGATTTTGGGTTGGGGGGTCCTTCGTGGAAGGTCGGTTCTCGATGGTGGGTTCCAGAAAATAGATGATATTAAAACGTAATCAATTGTTAAAAGGGTTATGAGTTTTGCTCCGGGACCCAAAATATGAGACCAATAAAAGGGATAAGTGAGGTGACTCATTCTTATTGGATAATGAGTTGGCCATCATTAATGATTGCCAACTCATTATCCAATAGGAGGGGAACACCTCACTTGTCCCCTCTATTGATCCCATATTTTGGGTCATTGAGGAATTTTTCAAGGATTATTTAGCCATTAGTCCCTCACATCTCCAGTAATTCCATATCAATTCCTCAAATCTCAATAAGCGCTCATTAGTTCCCTCAAATCCTAACATATTTTGCAATTTGGCCCCTCAACAGCCAAAGTACCCCTTAGTTATCATGTCTCTCTTGAAATCCATCTTGGTTAAAAAAAAAAGTTATTTGCGCTTTGGTACTCTAAGGGCTTGTTTGGTTGGCCCAAAACAGCCTGAGAAACCGGGTTTTTGGGAAACGATGGGTCACCACGTCGGATTAAGGAGTTGAAGCGTTTTTTTTCCCGTGTTTGTTTCGTTCTTTTTTTTTTGGGAGATGGGGGCCAGAAAACCCCGGCCACATCAGCTTTGGAGAGATGTCGATTTCCAAGCTCGGAGCCTGGAATGGGCTGGAAACCATGGGCGCCTGGGCAGGTACTAATTACTCTGAGTTGTTTCCAGCTACTAAAATTTTGGAGGAAAAGCTAGGTTTTTAAGATCACCACTCTTCTTCCTCCCCAAACTCCCGCGGCCCTCTTTTCGCTTCCCGCCTCCTTCGAAAATAGAGTGGGGTTTGCATCAATTTCATTGTCAATGTCGAAACTTGAGTGAAATTTGATGGCGATTCCCGTTCTCTTGTAAGTAATCGACCAACAGTTCTGAAGAATATAGAAAGGAAGTGCATTTTTCTTTTATAATCTCTCTTGAGCTTGTTTGGGTGATCAATCTACTCATTCTCCTCTAGATCCAAGCTGTTTGTAGCTAGATCCAAGCTGTTTGGGTGATCAACCTTCACTCAGCCTTGCTTTACCTCCAAAAATTGAAGGTAGTTTTTTTTTTTTTTTTTTGCAAATGTTTGTGCTTCACGTACCTTGCATGTTGGCATTGTTGATGTTTGCTTGATTTTTTAGTGTAATGAGGCCATGATTGCTTGACTTTTTTTTCCTTTCGAATGTATGGAGAACATATTAATTAATATTTAGGGTATCCTTGATTCTATCTATTTGGGTAAAAGATTATGCATGAATACATTGTGGATCTTTCATTAGGTTATGCATGTTGAATCTGAAGTTTAGTTTGAATTTTCGTGACAAGAGTATATTTTTAGCCATGTTAGTTTTCCTGACAAGAACTAAATTAACGTGTTAGTTTTGACTATAATGCATGTTAGTGTAGGGTGTAAAATTCGGGTCTCAATACAAGATTTGTATTATCTGTGTGTTTGTTACAAATTAATGAAATATGGATTTACAACAGAAGCAGAGAGAAGGCTCTCCTTATTTAACGTGGATTCTTCGATAGCGATAGGACGCCTCCCTTGGTGCTTGAGCCGAGTTTGCTTCCCTTGGACGATACGATCGACGTTTGTAGGTAATAAAAATTGCCTTAATCCTTGCACAGCAACTTGGAATAGGCAAAAGAGATTAATGGTCCATCTGTGGGAAGGCAAGATGACTCCCGTAGGATCCAGCCGACTCTCCTAGGGTCCAGCCGACTCAGTCTACAATCCAGCCGACTTCTCTAAGGTCTAGCCGACTCAACCCTCCCTCGTAGACTCACATGGCCAAGACCCCTTCGTCGACTCGAAGGGCCGAGAGCCCCTCGTCGACTCGAAGGGCGGCTTTAGTCGACTCCTCTTCCCGGAGTCGACTTGCCGAGAGCCCCTCGTCGACTCGAAGGGCGGTCTCAGTCAGCACTTTGAAGATCTAAGTGGACGAAACCCCCTATGTTGACTCGCCCTCGCCTCAGAGACCTTGGGACAAGACCAAAGAGCTAAGACCTCTCGTGTCGACTCGAAGGGCGACCTCAGCGACCTCAGACGCCTTGAAGTTCAGGACCACGAGACTAAGGAGACAAGACTCCCTGTGTCGACGAGACCCCGAGCCGAGACCGTTTAGTCAACTCGAAGGGCGGCCTTAGTCTACTCATCTTCCAGGAGTCGACTCGCCAAAAGCACATTTACTTCAAAGACCAAGATTTTTTCGTGTCGACTCGAAGGGCGGTGTTAGTCCACTCCATGAGACGACACCCCTTTGTCAACATGAAGAGCGGACTCAGTCGACCCAGAGTCAAGTAGCACCAGCTCGCCAGCATGAGTTAGTCGCCCTCCCCCCACCGAAGACACTCGAACCAGAGCAACTCGCGAAACCCCTCAACTCTGGGCTTGTTTGGTCAACTCGCCAGCACGAGTCAGACTCGCCTGACAGCTTGAAGCTCGCGTGCAGACCCAAGCGCCAGCTCGCCTGAATGTCTAGTCATGCTCACTTATCAACTGCCCACTTGGAGTATGGGAAAAGCCACATCAATGGTCACATCCCATAGCTAAAGAGCATGGCTCCTCACCTAGGCTAGGCATGGCCAAAACTCTCCTAATAGTCATTGATGGCTACAAGAATAGGGCGGCTAGCAGGCTACAAGAATAGGGCGGTAGGACCCCCTAGGTAGTCACATCCCACGGCTAGAGAGGCATGGTCTACTAGTGATCAAATCTCACAAATCAAGGGATGGCACATGCCATCTCTTGCCTATTTAAATTCACTTTCAGTCAACATGAAAGGGGTTGATTGGATGCTTTGTTTTGGCTGGCTAATCATCCAACTTCTAAAGGCTGAACCTTGGCTTATTTGCTAAAAGTTCCTTGGTAGAAGGAGACTCGTCTGGCCTCTTAGACTTAAGCCTCTCAATCTCTTTGCAGACTCTTGCATAGTAGCCCTTTGCAGACTCGTCTAAGCTCTTAGACTCGAGGCTCTAAGGCACTTTGCAAGCTCTTGCATAGTGGCTCTCTCCAAGTAGTCGGTCCACAAGCACGAGCACTGGTTTGGCCTCAGGTATACTTAAACTCAACCTCAGGAGCTTCTACCGAGTACTGAAGCTCCAACCGCGACGTCGATCATATCGTCCAAGGGAAGCAAACTCAGCGCAAGCACTAAGGGAGGCATCCTATCGTTACCGAAGAACCCACGTTAAACAATGAGAGCCTTTTTCTCTGCTTCTGTTGTAAATCTGGATTTCATTGATTTGTAACAAACACAGACAATACAAATATTGCATTGAGACCCGAAGTTTACACCCTACAGAAGATGGCAACCACAGTGGGAGGAACTGTTTCTTCAACCAAAATGGTGGTGGCGCAGTACGATAACGTTACGGCGAGGATGACTATCGAGTCCCATAAGATCAAGTTCGACCAAGCCAAGTATGAAGAATACTTGTCTTATTCCTCCTCTAGTAGTCGTGCATCACGCAAGCGCTATAGAGTTGCGCATGTGGCCTAGCTCTAAGCGGACGAGGCAGCCATGCCTAAGAGCCCTACCAGAGCTCTAGCAGGGGGTTCTACCCCCTCTAAGCCAGCAAACTGCTCGATGGGTTCCCAAGCAGCCCGCACAGTTCCCCATGCAAGAGGAGACTATGGTGCGTGTCGGCGTGGACCATGCCTTCACTGTTGACATGAGTTCCTCCCTCTCTAGAAGAGCCCAACGGCATCAATGACAAGCTCTCACTCGGTAGGAAGCCTAAGCCATGACTTCCTATGATAGCCTGAATTACTATTCAGGCCTGAGAAGTGCCAAGCAGGGACGACAAGTCCCCAGTTTCAGTGGACGACATTGATCAGGCGAGCCCACTTGCTCAGGCGTGCTCCCCTCTGTCGACCGAGTCCCCAAAGTTAGCAGATTCGATGTCTCGAGCCAGTCTAACATTTCAGGTGAGCTCCACTCCAGTAGCAGACTATCCTATCTGGGCAGAGTCGGCGATCCATGCGAGCCCACCAAATCAGGTAGGATTCGCTCCTCGAAATGACATTCTAGATCGGGCAAGCCCGGCATTTCAGGCGGTCCCACTCCTATCTCAGGCTGACTCCATCCTTCAAGGTACATGGCCGAGTCAAGCAAGCTGCCTAAGGTCGACGCGAATTCCAAAGCTCATGCCAGAAAAACATCCTCAAGTAGAACGAACCCCGCCGACTGACCAGTCGGCTAGACCTCACTAGCAGCCAACCGAAGGTCACCAACACCCCAGCCTCACAGCAGTCAGCCGAGACCAGACCCCGCCAGTAGTCAGCTAAGGCTCTCGAGCTCGGCTCGCAGACGCGTAGAGCTTGCGTAGATTCAAGACCTCGCCAACAGTCGGCAGAAGGTCACCCAAATGCTCGAGCTCTCCTGTAGTCACCTGGAGCTCGCCCACATTCCATACCTCACCTGTCTTAATGAGGTCGGTTGGATCCGACACTTAGGGAATTTCCCAGGTGTCCTCATGTCGGCACTTTTGAGCCTCCTTCACCCGACTTCTCGTTTGGTCTTTTCGACGCCGGAGGTCACCACCACCAACCTACAGGGGATTTTAGGGATCATTTGATTCGCAAGTGCACTATTCACAAGGAAAACTCTCAGTGCTATTGCGAGAGACTTATCTAGGCGGTACTTGCTGATTGTCTGTATTCTGATACACCAAAGTCATCGGTGTTCGAGAGACTCTTCTAGCAACCATCAAAGACAAGACCTCTCCGCCAAAGACGCTATCGTCAAGGGAGACGATCTTTCGATAATGTGGAGCTCCCCGCCACAACTGTCAATATGATAGGGAGGTCCAAGGTCATTGAGCATGAAGGTATCCGCCAACGCACTCACATCCAAATACGGTGGCCATTCTGTTTGACTATACGTGCCTAGCA